TGACACGGACATTTAAAAAGGAATGTAGTACGAAATTAATATGCATGCTTCGATTGTTCGCAGAGAAATTTGTATAAGGATACGGATTTAGATCGTCGTCTTTTCGGGAACTTATGAAGCTGGTCAATATAATGTACCGCATTTAAATCATTATTGGGCCAATTGATTTAAAGGGATTGGAAGTCTCGGCAAGGCAGTTGTACATGCTTGTCAACAGTTTAGCATTGATCATATTAATGAGGGATAGTTGCATTGTTGCAGTTGTTTACTGTCCGTTTCTAGGAAAGTAGTTTGCCGGTCATCGCCAGATTGTCAGATCAGCTATCGTTCAAGGAACAGGTATAGGAGCGTTGGAGTCGCATAATCCCCTTCGAATGGAATCCAACGCACTTCTGGGAGTTCATCGTCTTACATTTCCTTGTGTGGAGTGTGACAGCACCTCGGGTTGCAGTGAGACAGAGCCAGGTTTAGTTATACGTTATCACGGGACAGGGACACACGGTTATAATGGCGACACACAGTTAGGTGTGCGTGCGAGTGGTAAGGATAGTGGGGATCTATAGCATTACAGAATGTGCAGTGGAAAATTTGACTAAGCACGTTTTTCTCGTTGGGGTTGAGTTGAGGAAGATATCAGGGTAGTTTTTTTTTATTGGTTAGATTCAGGTTAAAGGGTAGAGCAGCGAGGACGCTGAATGCGATGAATGCGGATCATCGTTTTGTGAAGGTGGAGTAAATGTAACGTCTCTTTACCTATGTTGTACAGATGTCCACATTGAATTAGTACAACCGTAGATAGTTTTGTTTGTAGATGGAGAAGGGTTTGGACGTTTGGCTATACGAGTGAGAAATTATGTTAGGTTGGGTACGGCGCGGATATGTTGCGGATGTGAGGTTGACACGTATACAGATGTCGACCATATGTACATTTCCGCGTACGAATCTGAACAAGAGAGAGAGTGGTGTGTGATTGGGAGGATTCTGGGTACTGGCAGCGAGCTGGGCACACGCGCGTATGCGCGGTGATGCGGCGTTTCTTGTCTGTTTTGCGTGATTGTCTGATGAGGTGGCGTACACAGTGTACGATATTTCAAAAGTTATACAGTTTTACCACACAAGTTCTTCTTCATCATTACGCACATCAACGCTCATCACTGTTTTACAGTGACGTCAGACGTGACGCGTTCCTTCCTCTCACAACAATGAGAATAAAGTTTGTTTTTCTGAGAATTGCCCCATTTTTATTTTCTTATCACATAGTAAACCTTCAATCGGCTCGCAAGCAACACGGATCGTGGTTGGGAACGTAAAGACAGTGAAACTTATCCTCCGTGCGAGAGCTTGTGTTTTCAGGTTAATTTATCAAAATGAATTTATTAGGCGAAGTTACCGTCTTATGGGTCATTGATATAGGTAGCTGCGAGGCGGCGAAAGAAAACAATATACGCTGGGAACAAACCTCGCGTTAACGCGCGGGGATGCCTTACATACGTCGTGCGGCGTTTGTTTCTAATTTGTGATTCTTCGCACGGGCGGGACTACGGTCACATCTTTTCTTGTTTAGTTGCAGTTAAGAACTAGCGTTTTGTACGCGCAACCAGCGGGGCCTCGTCGCAGCATTAATTTTTATCCGTGGTAAAATCATTTACCTGCAGTACAAATTTTTTTTCAGAGTACGATGGCGCAACCATAAGGGGGAAGCGTCACATCGTGGTCCAATCGGGAGGGCGCCGTCGTCATTTCGTAGTTTTCACTCGCGAGTGCGGGCGTGAAAACGACCTCAACCGTCATTTCTATCGTTCGGCGCGTGGGCGGCGTGGCGGGTGCCGCTACATCGTTGTTAGATAAGGAGGACTGTAATGTTTTTCTAGGACTTTTCAGGACATTTTTATCGGAAATTCAACGGACATTTTATCAGACCATTTTTATCGGAATTCATCAGCGAACAAAACATAACCTAGTTAATTTAGATACCTGCATTCTTAATCCACTGCATGTACGCTCTAAAACTTTACGCTGGATCACTTAATAAACTTCTAAACACTGCTCAGCTTTCTATCAACTCTACCTTGATTTACTGACTGATTTTACTGGACTTTTATGTACGATTTGTTGATGATCATTCAACTGTCTATCGTGTCTATAGCTTTTTTTAAGGCTCATATCACCATTTTTTATTTGAGTTTGCACGCATTATTGATGGTCAGAAATTTTCTTTTTATTAGCGGCAAGTCGCATTGCTTTGCTAAAAATTGCAAGGGACATTTTCGTGGAAATTCAAGGATCATTGTTTCAAGCAGCAAAATCAACATTTACTAAATTCAAGTACTTTTTCAAGGACATCCCTCAACTCAGGACTTTTTCATAGGACCTGTGGATAAACCATGAATGCATCAACTTTTCAATCTTTTTCGCGGGTGCGCTCGCGATTTGCTGCCGTTCGCCTCCATTCTTGTCTCAGCCGGCGTCGATGGCTAGGATGTAGAAGTAGCGAGCGAGGGGTGGAGGCGGTCTCGCTGCACATCTTGTCTACGGGCGGTCGATGGCCTAGGTATGGTGGGAAGCAGCGAGGCGAGGTTGGCGGCGGTCGCTTTTCACATTTGTCTACGGCGTCGATGGCGTAGGACGTGTAAGCAGCAGTCGGGGTGGGAGGGCGAGTCACCTCACATCTTGTCTACGGGGCGTCGATGGCTAGGATGCTAGAAGCAGCGAGCGATGGGTGGGGGGTCGCCTCACATCTTGTTACGGCGTCGATGGGGCTAGGACTTCGTGAAGCAGCGAGCGTTGAGGGTGGAGGCGGCGCGCCTGCACATCTTGTCTACGGGCGGGTCCGAACTGGCTAGGAGCGTGTAAGCCGCAAGCGAGGGTGGAGGCGGTCCACGGCTCACATCTTTGTTCTACGGCGTTGCGATGGCTAGGATGTAGAGCCAGGCGAGCGAGGGTGGAGGTGGTCGCCTCACATCTTGGTCTGACGGCGTCGATGGCTTAGGATGTGGAGCAGCCGAGCGAGGGGTGGCTGGCAGGTCGCCTCGCACAGCAGGCAACGCAGTCCCACGTTGACGGCGCTCTGCTGGACCGTCCGCGTGCCTCTTCCGACGGCCTCGATGCAGCTAGGCAGCGCTCGTCAGAACTCCGGAGAGAGGCGGACAGGCGATGTCGTACATGTATGCGGCAGGAGTTGCGGATATGCAGCATCAGGATGCGTCGGGCGGCGCGCGGTCCTCACGACTTCGCCGAACAGCAGTAGCGTCTTCGCGAGGCCGCCATTCCTGTGCCGCTCGTGAGCGAGTGACACGGGGGTGCCGCGGCGTTTCCGCTGGCGCGACGTCCCACGTCCCGGCCGAGCGCGCGATCGATTTGATCCTCGCGTAGCGCATCGAGGAGGAACGCCGTGTTTGCCAAGTGGTCCGTCCGCATCTTTGTTCGAACGAGAAACCACGTAGTCGTTCGTGGAGGCGGCAGTGCGAGAGGTCGGGTCTTCAATGCACCGCGTACGCAGATGGGTCCGCGTGCCCTCTGCAGCTCCGCTGCTTGGCCGTCAACTCACTTCTCGCGCCGTCCTTCTCGCGGAGCTTCGGCGTCCGCCTTCGCCTCACGCGCCTACGGTCGTCGGGAGATTCGTTGAGGCGGGACTGTTGGAGTCCGGAGCGGCGTCCTTCGAAGCTTCTTCGGTCGTCGCGGCGAGGACGACGCCGAATCCGACGTGGCTGCACGCGCTCGCGCTCCGGGTCGTACGCAGCCGGCCATGCCGCCCCGGCTGAGGCACCGTTCTCCAGTGCAGCTCCCCTGTAGCTGTCGAACGACGTAGCACGATCGCAGTCGGGCGGCGTGTTCGCTCCGACGATGCGCGGTGCGCGGATCGCCGCGAGGTGCCGAACGTGTACGTAACGTGGTTAGCTCCGTCCGACTTTCACGACGGTGAGCGGATCGGGCGTCCGGCGGAACCATGATTTGCGTCCCTCGTTCTCCTGGAGCAGTCCTGGCGCTCTTCCAGCTCGAGCCGCACGGACGACAACGCATGCGCGACTGGTAGACACGACTCGCGCGCTCGACGAGTCCGCGAGATCTCCAGAGGCCTCGTAGATCCGCTCGGAAGTCGGCAACTTTCGAGTACCGTCGCAGACTGAGACCTCCAGCGCGCGTCGCGTCGCGCGTCGCCGCGCTGAAGCCAGCACGACTCCGCCGTACGCTTGCGCCGCTTGAGCTCTTCGTCCTTATCGAACCGCAGCCTTCGCTCGCGTAGAAGCGCTGGCAAATCGGTGCAATGGAAGTCGGTGTCGGGGGAGAGGTCTTGTAGTTGTAGTCGGGGAAACATCGCGAGAATGAGCGATGAGCATCCGAAGCGGTGTCCGCCAGTCGCCGACGTGGTTGACTTTCTCGGACCTCGGTGTCCGACGAACGCGGAGCAGCACGGGCTAACTCCTTGCCCGATGATCGTCGACCGCAAGATTGGCGAGCGTGCATCTCGCTGGCGACGTTCGGCGACGACATCGTCGATGCAGACAGGTCGCGGAGGCGGGCGCGCGGTCTGGAGCGGGGGTCCGGCGGGGCGAGCGCGTCCGGCGAGGCGACGGGCGACGAACGAAGCGACGCAGACGCACGTTCACTGAACGCCTCGGTCGCGGCGCACTCGCGGCCTTCCTCTGTCAGTTCGTTCGCGCGGAGGTTGGCGACGATCGCGCGCGCGCGCGTCCCGTGGCGAAACTTCTCGCGCACTGCTCCCGCGCCGCTGAGGGCGATCGTCCATGCGCGTTTTGTTGGCACTGGTAGTCGGCCGTAGTTGTCCTGCGTCGCTTGCTGCACGGCGGCGGCGGCGGCGGACGCAGCGCGGGGAACGCAGCGGCGATCGCCTCGTCGAAGGTTCGGCGACAGTCGAGGACGGTGGCGCGTTTGTAGACGCCGCGCATCTTCCGCTCCTCGCTTGCCAGCGCCCTCTGGAGCTGAGCGCGCTGGTACTTGAGTTTGTTCTGTTCAGAGCGCAGAGTGGAGAGTTCGGGCGATGCGTCCTCGTCCGCGGCGGCGGCGGCGGAGTCGCTTCCCTGCAGAGAGGTGATGCCGTCGTGCAGTGCTCGGATGTCTGCGGAGAGCGACGCAAACGATCGTAAATAATAACATTAATTCATTGTATTTATTTATATTTGCACCTTTTTACATAAAATGATCAAAAGCGCAGCACGTCGATATCGCGAACGACTGAACAATAAAAATAAAATGATCGTTATAATTAGATCATTAGACCTGGTAAAACTAATAACGATCATAAATGATAAGTGAACGTGGTGGGGCGATGGTCCGGCGTGGCGTGGTTGAATTTCAATTTGTTGACAGCCTTGACTATAACGTGGCTCTAACCATGTTAGCACTAGCAGTCTAGCACCATCGCTCACTGCTCACCTTGCTACTAGTCTGTACTACTGGATTTGTAGCTGTACTTACTACTGTTGTGTTAAAGCAGACTGAGACTGCAGCAAAAGCGAAGGGAACGTGACAGCGGTCAGGTAGAGTATTAGTAATAATAATACTAATAGTTTACTAATAATAGTATTATTACTATTTAGTATTATTAGTACTAGCTCTAAGTACTATAGCCGCTACATTAACTGGGGCCGCTGCCTTATAGACCGACGCATGAGGCATCGCGAGTGGACCACTTTATCCGCGCGATTATACCGACTATAACGTCTGTGGTAGGAATTAATGCCTCTTTATCCGAAGTGGAATATGTCTTAAGTTATAGGGCCGCTACTAAATATTGAACGGTGATTTGATTGTTTGTCTCTAACCTATCGTTGGCAAATGGTAATACTTGCGTATTCTTGTGAACAAACATTCGATATGCGAGCTTCAAACGCTGCCATTGCTGGCGGGCTGCCGGCAGCGCAGTCAGCGGCGGACTATGTATTTCCGCGTGTGGAGGGGTGGGCGGGTGGGGTGGTTGTGGGACAGTGAAAACATTGTTGTTGTCAAAGATAACCAATTAAGGCGCTCACAGTAGATTGTAATATTAGTTTTTTTGTCTGAAAGATGAACAAATTACTATTATCTATTTGTTACTTGACAACAACAAATGTTTTTGTGCGCACAACCAACGACAACCCCGCGCCACCCATCCAACATGCGGAAATACATAGTTGCCTGCTGACTGGCTGGAGTAAGTTGGTCCATCGCATGCCCCATGGGTCGGTCTATAGCCCAGCGGCAGTTAATGTAAGCGGCTATAGTACTAGAGCTATATTAGTACTAGCTCTGACCCAGTTCAGGCCTTGCTTATAGCTTACATTAATAAATTGTGCCCTAAAATATTTTATAATCTAACGATACTAGCGACAGTCTCCGATTATTAAATGCACAATTTATTGCCATATTGATCAATACGGCCCCTATATATAGTTCCCACGTATTCGGCAGCTGTTCAATTGTTTCGTCCGGTCGCCATCTTGTTTGGTAAAAAGGATTGGCTGGTATTTGGCGTTCCTACAGTATTATCAGAGCATATAAATAAACTATTATTATAGTGATTTATATGCTCTGGTATTATCTAATGTTTATCGGTTATAACTTGAATATATTGAAGGATGAGTGTCAGACAACCCAAGAAACGTTATAGGGATGGTTTGGATAAACAAACCGGCGACAGATATGACCAGAAGATAAGTTTGATCGGAGGAATTGACCCATATCACGACCTCCGTCATGCAAAGATGATTGATGATCCAAGTTAATTGTCTACCGGTGATATCGTATATGGATATTATTAACTATCTTGTAACCGCGAAAAGTCCGGATGAAAGAGTTGAAGGCCTATAAGTCTCTTGAAGCCTACAACCATATGTTATATGTATAGCTCCTTGAGCTGGAGAACACATATCGCCACCTATTGGTTGATTTAAATTTAATTACTGTTACGCCAGGTACGGTATAGACTAGAGTAGATATCTATGTACGGCATCCCTATAGCGGTATGATACCCCATGAAAGCTGCATCAGCATTTCTTTTTGATGTCACGCTACTGCGACGAGGACTTGCTCTCTATTACAATTTCAACAAAATATTTTATTTCGGGGAAACTGGTCGTGCACGAACAAATCTCTCGTGATATTATGTAAAAAAAACATTGGCACGGCTAGGCACCCTATGTGACTACTAGAGTAAAAAATATCAATCCAGCAAAATTCTGTTGTGTTTATTTGCTAAAGTCTGTACATAAAACCGCATATGCCAAGCAGGAGACATTGCCATCTATTGGATGATTTAGAATTTACCAGCGTGACGTGTACGAGGGCACGCTATCATTACTGAAGAGAGACACTGAGATATACTTTTCAGCTCGAGATACTGTGAAGTAAATGTGCTCTCCAATTGAAACTTATAATTTCAATAAAATATTATTTAATTTCTGGGATACTGGACTTGCGGAAACAAACGCCCTTCCCAGTGTTACAAGAAAATGTGTTGCAATTAGACACTTTATGGCTGTTAAAGTCACTGATGGGTATGTGCTCTCTCAATTAAAAGTATAGTTAGTTCAATTAAAATACTATTCCATTCATTTTCTAAAGGCTGGACAACTGCTCTTACTGCATCTATCGCCGAGGACACATACCGCCATCTATTGGCTGATTTTATACTTGTTAGTGTCACGTCAATCAGGGCGCCGTATTTAAGAGAGGCATCGGTGCTTATTTTTCATATGACACTACTGCGTCGAGCATTCGTTCTCCATTTTAAACGTATAATTTCGTCACCACACTATATATTATTTAGTAGATACTGTGCATGCACGAACGCAAACTCCTGCGATGCAACAAAGAAATTTGGTACAATAGTGAGAGATCCGGACAGAGATCTTTCGTGATAAACTGAGAGTGGGCTTCAAATTGAAAGTATAATTACATTAACAAAAACTTTTCTACTTATTTTTTATAACAGCGCGATGTCTGCATATATGCACATACCGCCATCTACTGGGGTTATTTAAATCGTGTTCGTGTTACCTACGTCAGCTAGGACGTCCTATCAGTCAGGTTTCTCATTATTCTACTGCAATAAGTATCTGCCTTCCATTTTAAACGAATAAATTGAACAAAGCAAATATATTTTATTTCGAAGATGCTGGGCATGCTCAAGCAAACAGGTTATGCTGTGATGATACAAGGGAATTTTGGTACGACTATTGGCCCGTTATGATTATTACAGTGACTGGGTGTGTGATCTCTAAATTAAAAGAACTGTTGCAATAATAATTAATATGTATAAATACAAGTGAAAGGTAAGGTTAAGTGTAAGTAGAAGGTCAGAGGTTAAATGTTTAGAGGTTAAATAATCAATAAAATAAAATAAATCAGAGGCTAAAATTGCTGCTCTGCCACGGGTTCCTTGCTAAATTATGGTAGGGCGCGGGCATGTCGGCGACCTGTCGCTCAAAGTATATGTCCATATAGGTATCGTTCTCTGATATAGGATTGAAATTTTATGTCAAAAGCAATAACAGCAAGCAACAAAATAATAAACTTGAGAAAAATAAGATTTTATTGGTACATTTCGTAAATGAAGAGTTTGCGCGCAGTCATGAACGTACAATATAAACTCAATTCAATGTCAACTCACCCGCTGTTTATTTTCAATATAGTCCAGAATCAGATTAGATGTCTCATATCTAGTAGAGCATGAGTAATACAATTATGCCTACCCCTTCGTTATTTTCAGTGTAATCTGCACTGTGATTTCATGCGCATTCATGCAATTTCATTTCACCAGGAGCTAATAATGCTATTATAATAATATAATAATATAATTATTACAATATAATAGCTAATAATAAGAGCTGTTATTATTAGCTCTTGATTTGATGCATATTGAGCACACATTAGCACAATGTGATAAACGCATAGCAGCAGCCAGCAACGAGGTTGGTGTACGTTATAAACAAGTTGTAACCCTTGACTACTTGAGACGTATCAGCTTTGTGATATGATGCTACGCTTATGATTGGATAATTCAAGTGACGTATCAGCTTTGTGATATGATGCTACGCTTATGATTGGATATCAAGTGACGTCACCACATCAAGCAAGGGGGTTGTCATATTCTGCTGTCTTCGTCTGTGTTATAAAATGTGCTTTTGCGGGAGAGCACGGATACAAAACTAAATCTACAATTTCTAATATTTAATTAATTATATATAATCCCCTAAATCAGTCTTCACGAATGACATTTCTAAACACTGGACCTTCGGTCCACCAAGCCAGCAAAATTTACTGGACTGGACTAAATTTTACTGGACCAATATTATTTTGACATTTTTGACAATAAAGAACAAAACAGTAATATCATTTTGTATTTTACCTATAATAATACCTTCTACACACTGATATGATAACAGTAGTAATACCTATCAAATATACATCACACACACCTTCTACACACTACAATAATAACAGTAGTGATAACTCCGGAATCCGCATCACGTGATGGTCGAGGGTGTGGTTTATAAACTCCGACGTATTACAGGCTGGTAGGGGAAGGCCAGGACGGTTTGTTCACCGAAGTGTGTACGTCATATGGTGTGAGTTACTCGTTTCAGGGAAATGAGGATGAGTACGGCAGATGACGGATTTGACCACCGCAATTCCTGCGGGAGGCTAGTAGGTGAGGAGGATCAAGGTGAGTTACACCAAGCACTGTGGTCTTGTGTCTCACCACGCACGTGTGAGTCGACGGTGAAGGCTGGTGACTGCTAGGGGTAACAATCCTGCGTTTGTGCGTACGTGAGCGGTGAGATGACTAATGGTGTATCTTCTCCATGGTTTGTTTCAGTGGTTACCGGGGGACGACATGTCCGGGGCGGACATGTCGCCAGGCTCATCTGGAGAGCAGATGGAGACGACGACGCAGCCGGAGGGAGAGGCTGCGCCACAGGAGACGACGACGCAGCCGGAGGGAGAGGCTTTAGACGTGCGAGCCGTGAGGGGCGTGCTCTGCGGCCAGGTGGTGTGACAGCGCGTAAGAGCACACGGCCTGGGTAGCCCTTAGTCACACCCCGTAGGACCTCAGCGGCAGCTGGAGCGGACGAGCACCGCCGCGGATAGACTCGCCGTGGTGGTCAGACGTACGTGCAGGTCAGGCACCGGCATAATCGACACGCACCAGTGCCAGGCCTTCGTTCCCAGGAGGAGTCAGGCCGCGACGACCCGACGAAACGGCGCGTTACATCGGAACCCGCCCCCTCCAGGTTTGCGTCCTGGTGGCGGGGACCTCTGACGTGGCCGCGGGCGCCGTCGCTCGCCGGGCGACAGGGGCGGGGTTCGTGCGATCCTCTCGCCGCGCCGCTGCCGCACCTTCCTGCCGCCCCTTCCCACTGGGGCAAGCCGCACTTCCTTTGCGGGGACCAGGGTGGAGCGGGCTTCCGAAGGCCGTCACCAACCGGGCGGTGCAGGTGGCACGTGCGCGCACGAGGGGTAGTCACGCGCGCCGGACAGGTCGGTCTTGATGAGCCTCGGCCGCGCGTTTCGCCGACCGACTTGAAACCCCTGCACTGAGCGCTGCTGCCTTGCCGACGCCCGGAGGGGACCACGCACAGTCTTCTGCGAAATGGCAGCTCTCCACCCGTCGCCCGAGCTCCATGGCCTCCTCCCCCGAGGCAGACTCCCTTTCTAGCCTCGCTCCTCGGTTCCGGCACGCGCTCTTCCGGCCGCGGCGTCCGTCGACCTTCCTGCGGCGCCGCCTTCTCCATCCGGGCTGCGTCGACGTCTGCGCGGCTCTGNCGCGTGCGCCCAGTCCCGCGGAAGTGCGCGGCTTAACCGCTTTCGGCGGTCGGGGAACAACGCATCTTTTGCGCAACGCCATCTTGTATCCGGTCTCTCTGGTTGTTTGTGCACAGCGGCGTGCATGCGGTGTACTTCACTACTTGTGTGTTGCAGAGGAGCATTTGAACGGAATTTACAGGAAGTTATCGGCAATAATAGGCGAAAGAGAGTAGAGAAACATTAAGACTTTGGTAGTAAATACATTTCGTGTTTATTTACCTTTTTTTTTATAGAGACTTCAGACATTCCAATTAAGTGCCTGTGGTCAATCCCAGCATGCAATTGCGAGTTCGTACTCGTACTCGTAGTTACAGTTATACTTACAGCCACAGGCACAGGCACTTGGAACGTTTCAATAGTAAAATGGTGGTAAATAAACACGACATGTATTTGCTACCAAATTATTAATGTTTCTCTACTCTCTTTTGCCTATTATTGCCGATAATCTCCTGGAAATGCCGATAAAATGCTCCTCTGCAACGAACGAGTATACCGCAGGCACGGCGACCGCCGTTCACAAACAGCATTTCAACAAGAATAAAGAGCTGAAATAATAACCAACAAGAATAAAAAAAACTTTATTCTTGTTGATTGTGCACAGCGGCGTGTGCGCGGAATACTTGTATTGCAGAGGAGCATTTGAACGGCATTTCTATGACTATGAGATTATCGGCAATAATAATTAAGCGAATGAGAGTAGAGAATTCTTTGGTAGTAAATACAATTCGTGTTTATTTACCTGGTAAATAAATGTAAAACGTGCTGTGTGGAACCTGAAAAACTGGGCAGATAGAATGAATGGGGCATTTTTTTACATTGTTCCTAAACTAAGCAGCAAAAAGCTATCTATATACACAGGTAGGCTGAGCTGACCCGTCCAGTAAAGTAATATAGCCACAGTTACATTATGTGTATCAATAAATAAGTTCATTTGGTTGGTAGATAATAGATCTATCTTGGTTAATTTTTACTCAACCGTGTTGATTCAAAACGTACTGCTGACGTTTCGCCTCCTATCAGGAGCCTTTCTCAAAGCTGACTGAAGTTATCAGTTTTGACCACCAGATGGTGTAGTGGTCAACAGCTTGGTCCACACGTGTCTGAGTCTGTATCCCCCCTCGTCACGGTTGATGTCCGGGGTCTTGCGGATCCAGATGGCTTCCTTAATCCAGCACCTGATTTTGATTTGCTTGCGATCGATAATCTCCTAATTATCCCAATTGATGGTGTGATTGGCGGTCGCTACATGGTCCGTGATCGCGGATTTGGTTATTTCAGTGGCCGACTGTTTTCGTTGGGCCCTTGTGAAAGATTTGGGAGCTACGGAGTCTACGTCCTTTTACGTTCTTTAAGGGCAGGTTTCAAATTTGCGGCCGGATTCTCCAATATAACTTTTTCCACACATTGCACACGGTATCTTGTAGACACAGGCTGTAATGTTGTGTATCGCAATTGTGTGTCGGGGTCCGCAAGACCCCGAACATCAACCATGACGAGGGGGGATACAGACTCAGACACGTGTGGACCAAGCTGTTGACCACTACACCATCTGATGGTCAAAACTGACAACTTCAGTCAGCTTTGAGAAAGCCTCCTGATAGGAGGCGAAACGTCAGCAGCAGGGAGAAAATTTCTTTTTCGGGGGCTACTTTTCAAGCTCGCGTGCATGAAAATAGCACTCTAAAATTTGGTTTGCATTGAACTCTATGTAAATTTCCGGGGGCTCTTTTTGGCATTTCCGGGGTTCTTTTTGGAATTTCTAACCCCTATATCGCCCCGAGCCCCCGTGTATTTTTTTCACTGGTCAGCAGTACGTTTTGATCAACATGGTTGAGTAAAAATTAACCAAGATAGATCTATGTGTATCGAGGCCTCTTATTGGGTAAAAGGGCTATAATTTAACCAAGGCTAAACTATTTTTATCACAGTAAAAATAATTATTTCTGAGTGCGATATGGCCAACCATATACGCCAGCTGGTTTGTTTATATACCTCTGACCCTTAGAATTTGACGCATGCTCACACAAAACTCGCTCGTAAACCGTAACCCTCGTAAACTCTGAAATCGTCGTTCATGATTATAGTGATTGTCAATGTCATGTCTTGCCCTTCCTTAAGTACTGCATAGATTTGTATTTTGTTAGTATATCACCATGTAGTTTGTATAGATTAGGTGTAGCTTGTTTTGTAAAAACAATGCGTCAGTGAATGAATGAATGACAAGATATTTACTCTGCCCTTTAGGTTATGTCAGCATACAAACGGCTCCATCGAACGCGGCAACACGTTTTCCAAGGTGACACGGTAGCATTAACTGGTGAGTGATTGGTTTGGGCATAGATCATGTCAACTAGAAATATTTTTTCATGGTAGCATGGGCGTGGCAAGTCCAATTAACATATATACAGGGGTTAATAATGACAGATTTGTCATTATTAACCCCTGATGTATATTACAAATTTTACACAGGTAAAAGTCTTAATCAAGTTTTGTTAGGTGCACTTGACAAAACCATGAGTGCTTCACGATTGTTTCAGTCAAAATGTGTTATAGTATGTGTTATACCTAAGGCTTATTATAAAAGTTGTGTAAATGTTGAGTAGAAGTAAAACAAATTATGTTTTGTTATAGCGGCAAGCGATGAGATAAATAAAAACTTCAGGAAACACAAACATGAAAATGACCCAGCCAAGTTGAAAGAAGTTAGTCAGGATATGTAACTATCTAGAAAGTTCTGTCTGGAATGTTTTTTTCATAATTAACTTAACTAAGTGTTGCAGTCGAAAATTGCATGTTCAAAGTGACCATATAGCTGATACTGATTGTTCCCTATATTATGCTATGCCATATCTTAAAATACTATAAGTATGAAACCATATATGATATATCTTATGCCTGCTTTCAGTTGTTAGCATATGCGGATGAGGTGAACAACACACTGGCCACAGAAATCGTGCAAGCAAAGGTGGAAGATAATACAATAGGTGAATAAAAATGTGCAGTCGTGTGTCATGTAAATTAGGCTATTTAGGCATATATCACAAAAATTGGTTTAATTTGAGCAACTATCCACTGGAGAAAATAAGTATATCATGGAAGAGCTTGTCTAATAATTTAAGCTTAAATCTGTTATATTTTTCATTCAGTAGAATGATTCATGTATGTTTAAAGGAATACTTTACTCTATAATTTGAGAGTATATTATGATAGATTTATAAATAATAGCACATACCTATAAATATCTATTTTACGCATTCACGTTTGTCATAAAACAACATTGAATTTCGAAATCTTCATTTTTGGGCGGTGACATGACACCCGCGACCGTGCTGCCACCCTGAAAAAGTTGCGCATTTGCCAAAATATTTTGCACATTACAGATGTAGGGCTAATCACAAAATGCAATTATTATATATATATATATTATAACTGAAACTATATGTTGTTTTAAAGATATTGCAATCCTTCTGCTCTTAAATTAATAAATAAGAAACACCCTCGGTCTGTAGCCTGCAGCCGAAACGTTGCTTTGTGCAACTTTTCAGTGGGTGCGCTGCCAGTGGCGCCACCGTTGTTGTAAGCAACGGTATAGCTGTCGGTTGTAAAACATTTTTTTTAAATATTTCTAATAAATATTGAACCATAAATCTATATGAAGCCTAATTTTAACCGAAATCAGCCGGAGAAGGTGAGCAGCGTACCAAAACCAGATCACTGCGGCCTTTATTTGACCTTTACCTTGACCCTGCTCATATTTCCCTTCCGCTCTCTAACTCTGCCCCTAATTGACCTAGCGCTACCAAACTTTTTATACTTACACATCTTGGGGAGAACACGGGGGATACATGTAGTTGGCGACAACTGCCCTTTCTAGTTATTATATGATGCATTATTCTAGTTACTGCATACTGATGACGAAATCTATATAAATTTAAAATCAAATAACGTTAATTTTTATCGACGTACGTTTTTTTTACATTTGTCACAGCGATCAAGTTGAGACCTGAGGTGGATTTCCATGATAAGACTCTCATTGCTGTGAACAGCAGAAGAAGAAAAAGGAGGGAAAGGCTGGAAGGCAATGCAGCAGATACGACACCAGTATTAGACGACAAGTGCAGCTAGTACATATATACCTCTCGCTATAATGACTCCATGAGCCAGTCTGTTTTACTAGTTGGCCAAACATGTAAATAAGTGGAGTTTTGTCAGTTAATGCTGCCATGTGTTTCGTGATTTCACATAGGCTGGCTTAGACCATACACACCAGGCTACCAAGAGTGAGCTAGGTGTGCTCAGCATATTGTAATAAGCCTTGTAATAATAAATAATAAGTAAGTAATAATAAGTAATAAATTGTAATAATAATAAAAAGTCTTGTATTAGCATACATTTTATAAAGTAATGTTTCTACAGCATCTACAAGGTTGAGGAAAGGTTCAGAGTTACAGCTTTGCAAAGCATCATGGGTAATGTCAAAGGTCAAGTCATGTAAGAAAAGGTGTAGTAGGCCTACTGCCATCTGACAGTGTAAGTTTTGTTACTTCAATATATAGTCTATAACAGTACTTTGTTATGACAGAGACTGGATCACAGTTTATCACACAACTTCACACACCCGCGAGCCGAGAGAGCGAGCGACCCCTATCGGGATGCATACACAACTCTGGTCACATAGCCACGTATACACAAAGCACGCCGGCTAATCTACATCCTTCTCTTTGTAGAACAATAGTACTCTTGTACGAATTATATAGAATACAACAAAATAAGTCTCTACTATAGGATAGCTATGTCGGAAATATAAAGAAATAAATCGCTCTCACACGACTGGCCCATTCTCTAGTGAAATCTAACACAAGTTGCTTCTGTGTCTTAACACCACAGATTAACAGAAAATCTCTCACAAATGTTAACACAACTTTCTGGATCATGCAAATGACCATTACACAAATGTCAATTATCTTTAGCACGATTATTCGTTTCTCACGATTGTTTACATTATTACACTCGCAACGCGATCTTTACTGCTTGTATCGTACTGGAAGATTGATCATCCTCCCACATCTCGTTGTTCTGGGAATGCCTCCGGGATCTGGCACAGGTTTGGGACTGCCTTCTACAATTGTCTCCGGGTTGACACACCTAGCTTCCGTCGAGTTGGTTGTACCTGTTGGTACACTCACGGTTGTTGAAGTGGAAAGCATGTCAGCATTTGGTGTTGCTGAAACAGCTGGCACCTTAAGAAGATGGTGTCGGTTTCTTCTGTATTCTTTCCCTTCTGTAGATTTGATCTTGGCTCGTCCGCCAATTTGACAACGTTACCTAGTTTGTCATAACCTTTCGCTGTTTGCACACGAACAGTGTCCCCTGTCTGCAAAGGTATGAGTGGTTTAGATGACTTGTCAATATTCTTCTTCTGTTGCTGTCTTTTCTCTGGCAGTTGGTGTTGGATCCGCTCAGGGTCCAATATCTCTGGTTTTAACAGAGCTTCAGCCGTAGGAATTGTTGTGGTTGTTCGATGCGACAAATTCCGTTGCGCTGGCGATCCCAATGTGTTGTCTCTTGGCGTATTGCGCCAATTCAGAATGTTCAGGTAAGGATCCGTGCCATCTCTGAACGATTTCTCAAGTAGCTGCTTAGCAGATTGAACAGCTTTCTCCGCCAGTTCGTTGCTACTGTGGAAATGTGGACTGCTCATTGTATGATGGAGTCCCCATGATACTGCAAAGTCCTTAAATTCTCTCGACGTGAACTGTGATCCACTATCGGAGATCAGCATGTCTGGAATACCAAACCTGGAGAAATGCGATTTGAGTTTCTGCACTACTGTTTTAGTCGATGTGTCCTTAACTGTGTTCGGTTCAAACCATCCAGAGTATGAGTCTACTGTGACAAGGTATATCATGCCATGCCACTCAAATAGATCCGTTCCGACTATTGCCCATGGTCTGCTTGGCACTGGATATGGTAGTAGTGGTTCTCTCGACTGGTGCGATTTTGTGCTATGGCATATGTTGCACTGGCCTATTATGTCATCTATGTCTCGACACATGCTTGGCCAGTACATGTCTCTTGCACGACGCTTGGTGGCTTCTGCCCCCAAATGACCACTATGTACTAAGTTAGCGTATTCACGCTGCAGTGCTTTTGGTACCACTATTTTCTGACCTTTCAGTATCACACCCTCGTCTTCAATCAGTTCATCACAAAATGGATAGAATGGTTTGGGCTCAGGTTCACTTTTTGACCAACCCATGACGATGGCTCTGTGAACTTTTTGGAGTGTGATGTTGTTGGAAGTAGCTTTCTTTAGCTCCTCCAGCTTCTTACTACTGATCGGCAACACTGACCAGGGTTAGACACTAGCCATTTTCAGTTCATTAGTCACAGGCTACGTTAAAAGAAAAAAATTACTAGTCCTGTTCAGTTTTACTAGTCTGCCGAAGACTCTTACTGGCGCAGTAGCGACAAAGAATTGTATTTGCAGGAGGTTGGTGGGGTAGGGAGGGATGGAGCCCACTTGTAGGGGGTACAGGGCGCGCTCTCTCCCAGGGTACAAGGAGTTGTCCCAGAAGGTTTTGTAAAAAGACATTCAATTGTATAAATGACATGTAACTTTGATATCGGATCATAAGGATTTTAAAATTTTAATTCGGAAAAAAATTTCGCGCTCTTTTGATGAGGCGAATCTGTCGGATCCGTCACTTATCAGCCGCAAGGCGAATTTGGCCTATTATTGCTAAAACTGTTCCCGGCGCCTTTGTATCGGCTATCGCCGTAATTGAACCTCTGGCAGGCCTTAGGGGTCAGTGAGGAAGTGCTTGCGACATCTAACACCTTGGCCTTGTCAAGCTGAAGCAAGCTTGACGTTAATCGCGTGTAGGACCTGCCGTTTTTCCAATAGCATGTGACATTTCTAATAGGGTTCGCCATTTCTAATGCTGGATAGATGGCGCGCGTGCACTGTCCGGTATGGGTGTTGCTATCCCGGGGTTGCCAGGGACAGTCCACGTTATTTACGTTTGACGTATACTTCACAAGATTCCAAATCTTCCAAGTTATTCCACAGTCTACTTCGCGTACTAGAAATGGCCCTTATATCCCTTAACCTAACCCTAACCCTAACCTTTGATTCCTAACCTAACCCGTACAACTTGATTCCTAACCCTAATCCTAACACTCAGTGCTGCCACATTGCGTTACTGTTCGCCTCCACGCCCGGCGAGATAGGGCATTTCCCGTCGGTATTCATCTGCAACAATGCGATCTAGTTACGATAGGAACAACTGTAAATGAATTGAAATCAGAGTTTGCAAAGTAGAGTGCAAAGACATCTGGGAGAGAAGCTTGATCTGCCGTCCGTATTGCTTTGCGTGCGCGTTGTGCACGTACACCGTGGCGTGCGTGGGTTGCGTTGCGTGGGTGTGCACGTACACTGCGTGCGTGGGCACGCTACACTGTGCCGCCCATCAGGGCCGCGTGACGGCTCTGAGTGCCGTTAACGTTGCGTTTGCGTGCCGTGCGTGCGTGGGCACGTTCACGTGCGCGCGTGCAACGTACACTGGCAGTTTGCGTCGCGTTGCGTGTGCAACGTTACACGTCGCCGTGCGCGCAGGCAAGTACACGTGTGTGGCCCGTGCGTGTGCGACGTACACGTGCGTCGTGCATAGGCTCGTACACGTGCGTGCGTGCATTAGCACGTACACTGATGTATGGTTGTGTGTGTGTGCGTGTTGCACGTACACGTGTGCGTGCGTATGCGTACATGGCGTGGTCGTCTGTGCACGTACACGGTGCCTGCATGTGCATTGTTAACACTACGTGGGCACGTACACGTGGTGTGCCGCGCAATGCGTGTCACGTTATCACGGTGCGTGCGTGGGGCACGTACACTGGTTGTGCGTGCGTGCCGTGTGGCACGGTACACGTGGGTGCGTGCGTGCGTGGTGCACGTAGACGTGGTTGCGTGCGTGCTTTCGTGCACGTACAGTTGCGTGGCCGCGCAATAGGCAAGTACACGTCTGATGTTGCCGTGCCGTGGCAACGTAACGTTGCGTCCGTGTGCTGGCACGAACACGTGGCGTGCGTTGCATAGCGCACGCTACACGATGTGTGTGTGTGTGTGTGCATGTGCGTGCGAAGTTGTCGTGCACTACACGTGGTGGCGTATGCACGTCGATGTGGCTGTGCGTTGCCCAGTGCACGTTACACGTGCTGCATGTGCATGGATACACGTCCACGTGTGTGCGCGCATTGCGTGGTGACACGTACCACGCTGGCGCGCGCCGTGGGTGGCGTGTGCACACAAACGTGCGCGTGCGTGCGTGGGTGGGTCGCTGCACGTACACGTGCGTGGGTGCGTGTGTGCACGTCCGTGCGTGTGCGCGCGTGATGCACCGTAACGTGTTGCGTGCCGTGCTGCCATGTACCGACCACGTGCGTGTGCACTTTCTGATCACCTCTTTTGATCGGCGCACACACCATTTCAATCTCAGTTCTAGGGTCATTGGGCCCCCACTGTTTCGCGGAACAGCTATGGTCCTTGCATTTCTTTTTGGCTAGGATTCCTTTTCTGTTGCCCCTCGGAAGATCATTGCGCGTTTAAAGTTTCCAAACGGATGTTTGTAGTGCCGGTGAAAACACCTACCAGACATACAGCCTGACCCAGCAGGTATATAGTGCTACCTTGGCTGCGGTCATACTCTAGACCGACGGGTATGACGATTTCCACGGCTGGCTGGGAACGCACGCATCCTTTTCGTCTTATCATAGACACCCTGGCCATCTAATTTCTCTTCCTGCGATTTACATTTGGGAGGTGGAGGGTAGCCCGGTCCAAATACTTTCCATTTAACAACCTTGATGTTAGTCAAATTATAATTGAAAGGATGTAATACTTACTATTAAGCTCTCACTACTTATTGTTGTATAGGATTCTTCAAGTAACACGCATTGGGATGTTGGTTGCGATGTAGATACACTCCCTATAGAGCCTATAACATTAGTTGCGTTTCATTGTCTACAATCAACCGTTTTGTTCTATGTCAACAGCTACTGTCAGCGATCATATTATGGTAGACTGGGTGCGGTTCCGAGACCCCATTTGTTTACATGTATTGCACCTTGCGTAGGTTCTAGCATGCGGTGCAAGCCCCCCCCCCCTGAGCGGCTAGCGTTCTACTCTACTTGGACTAGCGCGTTAAAAGGAAAAACGTTAATTTTGGACGAGTAGTGATAGCTTTGGATCTGTGAACAGCGCGCCTGGGTAAAATCGATTGGGAAATTGGACGGTGAGCGACGGGGAAAATATTAACTAGTCCGCCGGGACTAACCTGCTATGGGAATTCTACTTAGTCCTTGATTTTTTTTTACTGTCTCGGAACTAACGTGACTAGCGTTAGTGTTTCGACCCTGCTGACAGTCATTTCATGTTCCTGGTGTGATTCTCTAGACGATCTGCAGGCCCGGGATATAGCGCGCGAGCGCAACACAGACGCCGCCTTGCCGCGCTTGTCATCTGCCCTCTATGTAGAACTAAACTACTCGAAGCCTCTGGGTCTACTACAGAAGCCGCAATAATTGTCAATATTGGAGTGTGGCGATTGCAGAAGCCTTTCGACTCTGCACTTAGGGGGCGAAATAAATTCGGAAGTGTCGTAATTGTTGTATTTATGGTGGGCGTTAGGTCTTTTCTGTGAAAAGCGAATTTTTCAATTTATTGAATTTTTACGCCCTTGAACTTATTATCGTTACATATGGGTTCTCATAGGATGGGCGCGGACGAGGCTCTCTGGATTTTCCACGAATTTTCCCACACAAAGGGGACCGGCGATTCGGGCTTCGACTGCTGCGCGGTGGAGAGTTTCAGACAGCTTCACTACTATATAACGTGCGCTGTGGAAAGGCTTGTACGAGTTAACGGACTGGCGGTAACGATCGTCTAAGACTGAATCGTCACGTCCAGTGTAATTATCGTAGCCAATTTAGGACCCGCACGGGCCTCAGTGACTTGATGGTTGGTTTTAGTGACTTGAGAACTTGCACTGCACTGCGCACTGCACGCCGCACACTGGAACACAAAATATATATATGGCACATGGTTTTAGGAAGACGCGGAGCGGCACATTTTCCAGCCTCCCTCTTCCCCGCGCTCACGTGTGAGCTGGGCTCTGGGGAGGTAGTTTTTGCAGCCGCCGTTGGACTTTCGTAGTAAAATGATCTTGTTTTATTTGGAGTTACATTTTATTTGAAACGCTTGCAAGTACAGTTGCAGTGCTGTGTGGCTGGCTGCGGCACATTGATGATGTATAGTACGATACCTTATTAACCCGTTTGCGCAGAGCGAGCGAGAGCTGACGAGACGAGAGAGAGACAGACTGTGGGAAGTGCGAGAAGACAGAAGATCTTGAGTACACGCCAAGATTAAAGGCTACGAAAAATACGGCAGGTGACGTACGACGGCGAGGATGTCAAACGCGTGTCTAATCCATAATTCGGAAACGCCCCCCTCCAAAGCCGATGTACCGATGAGCTGATGTTACGTGTCCGAAAACTGCGCGACTGTTATGGCTGCCCGCTATACGCATTCGCGCGCCCGCCTTTCCTTCGGCGCGCGAATGTATAGCGTGGAGCTATATAGCTTTAACATCCCGCGTCGCCTGAGCGCCAGTCTCGCGCGGAATGTGGCCGGCTTAACGTTTTCGGCTGGTCGGGGGAACAATCGCCACTTTTCGGCAAGGCCATCTTGTATCCGGTCTCTCTGGATCTGTCGTCACTGTCCCTTGATTTGGCAAGTATGCCCTCGAGAATGTATCTTACTAAGGTAGAGATCACTACCTTTCTTGTCACCAGGTTAAAATGTTATGTTGCAGCCTCAACAGCCAAGCATTGCAATCTTGCTGGAGCGTGCAGATAGTGTTTTCTTTCACTATTGATACTAATGGCTGCATGGTCTGCTTGTCTCAATTCGTCACCTTGCCCAAAACACGAATGCACGAAATCTTGTTGCACTCCAAGTATCCACCGCGAGTAGCTCTATTCGCGTATCTTGTTTTCAGCTTGTTTTAGGTCACGCGTGCGTTACGTGACTGGTTTTTTCATCTTGTAGGCATGCTTGATCCAAAGACCACTCTGTGATGGTCACATTGCTGGTGTTACGCTCTCTTGACGTCAAATACGCAAATTTGTCACTTGTGCAATACTTCTGCTTTATCTCGTTGAATGCCTGCTGCTGGGATACATCCATTTTCATTCATT